GCAAATATAGGATCTGTTGTCAAAAGTAGCCAGCCCTTCACAAATAGGAACATTTTTATGAATGCCACACTCCATTGTGGACTTTTATTATAGGAAAAAAAAATAACTGTAGTAAAGGAAAATTATACTTTGTCCTAAAAGGTAATGAAATTATTCATTTAGATTGTTGTCTATAAGTTTGTGGTACATGAACTTTTTAACTCAATAATGTTCACTAGTCAGTCAACTACTTTTATCTACAACTTTACCTTGTTTTAAATGAAGTTTCACTTACACTGGAATTCCATTATGATAGAAAATAAATTCTTTGTCTTACCATTAATTTTTATGTAAGGAAACTGGTCCAATTTGATGGTATATGAAAACTTTCCTCCTTCTTTCCACCTCTCCCCCCCAAGGACTCCACAAAAATAGTCATTTTTAACACATACATAATATTCAGTTTTGATTATCTTAATAGTATCATGTTCAGTATATTTGAATTACACATTTTAAAGCAACATTAATGCTGTCATTTTCTTGTGGACTTAAAAAAAATAAAAACTATGAAAATAGTGAGGAAAGAATGACAACAGCAAGAAACCTCTTCTATTTCTATGTCTTTTTCAATACTTTCCATCTTGATAGAAATTGAGTCTCATTCATGGATGAGTCCTGACTTGAATATCAGGAAATTAACGTTGTAGGACATAGTCTACCTTTCACTTACAACTGACTCACTCTTCTTGACAAATTGAGTAAACCTATTTTAACTTTTGGGGGGCAGCTAAGTGGCACAGTGGGTAGAGTGCCGGGCCTGGAGTCAGACAGATCTGAGTTCAAATGTGACCTCAGACACTTGCTAGTTGTGTGACCCTGGACAAGTCGCTTAACCCTGTGTGTCTCAGGAAAAACAATGTGTATATATTCAATTATCTACAGCTAATATATTTGACCATGCTTTGGATTCCTAGGGAAGTAAAGGGTACTTTATAATTCGAAGTACCTGATGCTGTTGTGGTTATCACTATTGCTATTGTCTTCAACAGACATTTCAAATAGACAATGAACTGTGTTAAGAATTGTAGGTGAAGAGAGGGGGCAGGGAGGCTAGATTGCTTTTAGTTAATTATATTGTATAAAGAACACTGGTTCTTTATACATGATCCTAACTTCTCCCTTAAACAAAGACCCATCTTTTCAATGCCAGAAATCTTCTGATATTGTTATGTGGTTATGAATCATAAGACTCTATAGTATATGATTAATTAAAAATAAGAATTATCCCAAGGGTAATGTAGGGGTGTATGGTATGGGTCAACTGACTTTAAGACATTTCATTCATGTAATAAGAAAGGAGAAGGATAGTGTCCAAAATGTAGGAGTAAAAATAAAAATAGACTACACACATGGCAGATTAATTTATGCACAGCCAACTTGATTTAATGATGTATTCATCATTTCAAGAGAAAGTAAAGCACGTACATAGATCTTTGGGTGGAAACCCAGGACCAAAAACATGAATTGGCATGGACAAGAGTCACAGAGGATGGGTAGATCACGGATTATTATCTACATTGTCGGTGAGAAAACCCAAGACTTATCATCCGAGATCAAATATGATCAAAGAAGTAAAGCTATCTGAGTATTTTGGATGAAGTAATACTTGTTAATGATCAAAACTGTCCACAGTAGAACGGACCATCTGAGAAAGTGTTGTGCTCCTCTTCACTAGAATCCGTCCCATTGAGACTAGAAAACCACTTGGGAATTTTGTATGTGTTTTCTCAGGTAAATATGGGTGCAGATAGAAGGTCTCTGATGCCCTTTCCAAGTTTGCCCTAAAAAATTCAAGAGTGGATTGTAGAAAAACTAACACTATCTCTTTTGGGTCCAGCTATCACTAAATCATCAACATATTGCAAAACAGTTATTGATTTATTAATTGTCCCTTACTGTTTACTAGGCCTCTTTCTTCCCATATCTTCCCAAACACATGTGCCACCCCCCAGGCATGTTTTGAATCTGTGTAGATATTTCCCTCATTCCCTTCTAACAACTTCAATGCCTGGTTTAATGCATATAATTCACAAGTTTGTGCCGACCACTGCGTGGGTAGACTTCCTCTGTCCACCACGGCACTCTTGTCACCATCAATAATAGCATACCCATTCCTTCTTTTCCCCTCAACTACCCTGGGGGAATCCATCAATAAACAAATTTACCACCTCTGGGAGGGGAGACTCTTGCAAATCTCCCGAGCCTTAGTCTGAAAATCAATTAACTCCATACAACAGCGTACATACTCATCTGAGTTAACAAATGGTAAGCCAGAGAGGAAAGATGCAGGATTCTGATTAGCATTATGTGTTAACACTAAATCATCTTTTTCCATTAAGATTGTCTCATATTTCAGAATTCTGGACTCTGTGAGCCACCTCCCTACCCTTTGATTAAGAATGGATCTAACTTGGTGGGGGACACTAACCACCAGGATGCCTCTAAAAGTTAATTTCCGACTTTCCTCTACCAACATTGCAGTGGCTGCAACAGCCTGAGCACAAGTGGGCCATCCCCTGGTCAGGGGTCTAGCAGCTTTGAGAGGAAGGCCACTGGTCTCTTCTGGCCTCCCCAAGTTTGGGCTAATACCCCCAAGGTGGCCCCTTTGTCTTCTCATCTGCAATGCAATTTCCCCTAGCTTCAAAAGAGTTTCCCTTCTGGTGCCCATTGATATGTATCAGGGCTAAATTCTTTGGTAGGTGTAAATTTTCGAGTACCTGTTGAGAAGTGGGGCAAAAGCTTTCCATCAAGGTCTCTAACACCTGGCCAAAAAGGTTTGGGGATTCAGTATACCCTTGGGGAAGGACGCACCACCTCATTTGTTGTTTTCTACCAGTGTCTGGGTCCTCCCACTCAAAAGCAAACACATCCCTGCTTTCTGGATCTAAAGGGCCAGCTCAGAAGGCGTTCTTTAAATCAATAACACCAAACCACTGGCTGTTTGAGGGTATTTTTCCCATTATGGCATAGGGGTCCAGGACTACTGGATGCAACAGAAGAACTATCTTATTAATTTCTCTCAAATCTTGAGCTAATCTATAGGATCCATCCCCCTTCTGTACCAGGAGAATGGGTGAGTTATAGGGTAACTCACAGGGTTCTATTAACCCATCTTCTAGTAAGCCTAGGATGATGGGTTTTAGCCCTCTTTTTCCTTCTAATGATATGGGATACTGTCTAATTCTAACTACAATTCCCGGATCCTTCAGCTTTATTTTAATGGGTGAAATATCTAACCTACCTTGATTTCGAGGACATGCCCAGACCCGGGGATCAACCTGAACCTTTTCCTCTTCTGAGGGCACACATTCTCCTGGGAATTATTTGAGGGCCTGCAGGGGTTAACTGAATCAAATCTCTTCCTAACAAATTTACCCCAGCCTCTGGTACAAACAAAAACCTCCCCATAACTTCAGTCCCTTCATATTCCAATCTCAAGAGTTCCGTCATGGGCACAACAAAATTCTCTCCTTTGACTCCAGATATCACTAAAGATTCTTTACTGAGTCTAATCGCCAAGGGGAGAGTAGTTATTGAAGATCGAGTTGCCCTTGTATCAATCAAAAAGGTGTATTCTTGCCTTCCCTTGCCCACCCTTATATTTATCAAGGGCTCTGGGGTGGGCAACTCTAAGAGCCCCGACACCTCTAATTGTAGAGGGCCAGCTTTGGGGAGTTGGAGGGCTTAGGCCAGCCCGGGTCTTACCTGCAGCTTGTACTAAGCCTGACAGCTGTGAAACTCAGGATGTCGACTCACCACGCCCCCGCCGTTCAGGCTCTTGAGAACAGGATGCAAGAAGGGAGGAAACGGATGGGGTACAGGACAGGATGCAGGAAAGAATATAACAGACAAGGTACAAGGAAGTAAGGAAATCACTTAATTAGATTTGCACTTTTCATGTTACTATTGCTTAATCCAGTACTACATAAACCTGAGCTCTCAGATCAATAAGCACAGTTTGTTTTTCACCACTTTCACCTGTCCTGTGATTTTTTTCTCTTCACACTCTGCCTGCATCAGACCACAGCTGGGGATGCAGGCGCTCCCGGCATCTAATCCTCAATTTCCATCAGGGAAAATATCTTCTGCTCTGTTGCCTATACACGGCAGTTCTTTCTCATGTGGCTGGATTTCCTACAGTTAAAACAAGCTGGGGAGGACGGGGGTTTCCACTTGTCCCAGGGTATTGTCCACCCAAAGGGCAGAACCCAGGTTTTTCCCATTCTGTCCTTCTCTGTGGCCTGGCCGGTCCTGCCACAGTCTGAACCGCTTGTAACATGATGAGTTTGTTCCTCCTGCTGTTGGAGCATTAACTTAGTTCGTTCCTCCTGCTGCTTTCGTACCTGCATCATCATTTGATTCCATTTACTTTGCTCCTTCTTATTGTCCTCTCCCCTTAACATGTTGACTTTCTGAGCTATTTCTAGTAATTCATCAAGGGGCTTGGTCTTTTAGCCTTCTAGTTTTTGTAACTTTTTATTAACTTCAGGCTAGGTATTTGTCACAAAATATGCTCTTAAAAGACTCGGGCAGTGGGTTCGGTGAGTTCCAACCCCGAGCATTTTCTCATGTGCTCTTTAATCCTGTTTAAGGTGGAGGGAGTCTCCTCCTTTTCTTGTCTAATCTCAGTTACCTTGCTCATATTTTGACTTTTTGGCACAGCATTACTAATTCCATGTATAACCATCCCTCTGAGCTCTCTCATGTTTACTCTATAAGCTGCGTTGTGATCCCTGGTGAGATCCTGGAGGGGATACTTCTGTTCACCTCTCATTCCCCCTTGTGCTACTGGGTGAGCATCATCCCAAGCTTTCACAGCTGCTCTTCTAATTTGTCCTTGCTCTTCCCCTGTAAATAAAATGTCTAAAATTGCCATCAGTTCGCTCTAAGTATACAGACTAGGTCCCAGAAACTGATGCACCTGTTCTGCTACTCCTGATGGATATTCGATTAAAACCTGCATTTCTTTCTTAAAGTTCCTGACTTTGGCACTACTGAGGGGGGCCATTCACATACCCCATCCCCGCCCTGAGCCAAAGGCATGTCCCACAAGGGGAACTGACTAGTGGTGCCATTTGAGGAAGGGAGGGGAAAATTCCATTGATCTTTCAGTAGCTGTTTTAATTCCCTTTTCAATGGTCCATATGATGTGGACAGGCCTTCCTCTAAATCAATAAGGTCCCCAGAAAGAGGTGCAGAAGGAGGAGGCAACGGAGGTGGTGGCTGGACTGATAAGGAGGGGGAAGAGCCGAGAGTGGATCCCAAGGAGGAAAACACTTCTCTTCCTTATTCTCTTTGCTTTCTCTCTCCTTCACCACTAACTGCCCCATAGATAGTAACCACAAAGCTGCATAAGTGCACTCCTCCTCATTCTGAGGTTCCTTCTCATTTGCATAGACATTCAGATTCTGGCACACCCAATCCTTGGAGGATCCCTATTTTGGCCAGAATAAGTTTCCTCCAAGTTGAACACCCGCCCAAACAAAACAACAATACTTGATCATTTTCTTTTTATCTTTCCCTTTATATCTTGGCACCTCATCCCAATTACTAAGCTAGTTTCCCAGAGGAGTATGGGGGGGGATGGGAGGGAAAGTCCCATTTTTGTCAGACTTGGATTGAGATTTCCCCACGGTAGTCCCTCATTGTTTCCCTCACTATGGGTGAAAGTGAGAATTCCCCTTGACCTCAGGTCAGGCAAGACCACTCGACAATCTTCCACCCAGGTTCAAGGTTGAGAGCCAAACTGGGTCAATCTCTTGGTCCAAGAATTTCAGTGCTGAGGCCCGAATCCTGAGGCGCCTCATCAGGAACCCTCAGCAGGGTCGCCTCAGGAAAGAACTTCCCGGTCTTCTCAATTCTTGGCCAGACTCAATCGACTCCACCCACCAACAAGTCATCCAGGCCCTTCTTATTTGGGTCTGTGCACGGACTTACGTGACTCTTGATTCTCGAATCTCAGGAGCAGCCGTCATGTTTTCAAAAGAAGAAAGAAAAAAAAAGTTCTCTACTTTCGAAAAACAGTTTCCCTTCAGAATTCTTCTCTGTGCGGTGTCTCCTAGTCGCAACTCCGAGGGCCACTGGTTAATGATCAGTGGGATGTCCTGCCCATCGAACAAGCTACAGGGCTCCAGGCACTCCCAGAGGGAACCCAGTTAAAATCTCGGTGGGATCTCGAAATTTGTGTGCAATACCAGTGTAGTTAAGATTGGAGAGTGTTTTAGAAAGGCAGAAAGGTTTGTTTGCTTTTTCGCGAAAAAGGGCGCAGCCTCCACAACACCCAGAATAGCAAGTGAAGGAGTGAGCTCAAGTTCCAGAGAACAAAAATTATATACGGTTCTGAGACCCTACACCCCTTCCCTTCCCTTCCCTTACCTATACTCCCCCCTACTCCTGATTGGTCAGTAAGTAAGGTGCACAATCTATTCTAAAGGATCTGCCTAGGAATGACAGAATTCTGCCTGCTTTGACCAGATAACAGAGTTTTACCACACTCTTTTAACAACTGCTTACAAAGTCAAGGTGCGAAAGGGAAAAAGGTCAAGCAGAGCAGGATGTGCTGGGGTGCCACCTGGGGTGAATGTGCAAACACATTTGCTCAACAAGCAAATGGTCATGTTGATTTCAAGTTGTTTGATCCCCCTATTCCTTAACACTTGAGCAGACTTCACTCAACCCTCACACATTTTTTGGAATACAAAGAAGAACAAAAAAGAGGATCACATAAGAAAACATTTCCATTACATCATTTGTTTATAACATGCATATTAAATTTATGTATTTTAGTAATAATACTGCCTTGTTTAGTCTTACATTTTTGAACTTCATTTTTCTCCTGTATATTTTTAGCTTCTTTTTCTTTTTTAATTTCTATCACTACTCAAGTAATAAATCAAGAAACATTTGTCAAGCACATACTATGTGTAGGAAGTATGTTATTCTCTGGGAATTAGAGAGACAAAAATTCTTGTGCTGTTCCCTGTTCTCCAGGAGCTTATATCATAGCTTCTAGCACTCTGCCAAGAAAGCCTTACCTTATACCTAACGAGCATAGACAGCAAAATAATCATATTGCCTGTATGTGAAAATACATGTTTCATTCTGCACCTTTATTCCATTACCTTTGCCAAAGACTGGGCTATATGCTTCATCAAATTAATGATTGATTACTGCATCAACCAGAATTCTGAAGTCTCAACGTTGCTTTCTCTTTACTATCATCATTTATGGTAAATTGTTCTGATTTTACCTCCTTTGTTCTATATTAATTCATCCAAGTCTTCTTCTGTTTCTCTGAATCCATCATATTTGTCATGTTTCATGGCACAGTAATATCACATTTCATTTTGATAGTCATTTTTCAATGATGGGTATCCATTTTGTTTCAGATTATTTGCTGCATTAAAAATGCTGCTGCTGCTCTCTTGTTCTCTCTCTCTCTCTCTCTCTCTTCTCTCTCTCTCTCTCTCTTCTCTCTCTCTCTCTCTCCCTTTCTGTCTTGTGTACACACATGTAAATACAGTTATTCCTCAATCTAGCCAATTGATCAATCCTTATTTTTCCATTGTATGTTTCTTTGATGACAGGTTTTTACTGTACACTTCCAGATAAATTCCCTGTTTACTATGCATAGCAGTCTGCTCACACTCATTATGAGGCAGCTAGGCATCACAATAGATAGAGTGCTGGGCCTGGAATCAGGGTGACCTATGTTCACATCTGGCCTCAGATACTACTAATTGTGTAATATTGGGCAAGTCACTACATCTTTTCTGCCTCACTTTCCCTAACTGTAAAATAGGGATGATAAGGATTAAATGAGATAATATTTTTAAAGTGCTTAGCCCAGTGCCTGGTAAATATTTTCAGAGCTTTTTTTTTTGTTTTCCCTACAATACAGTCAAGAAATTTATATCAAAGTAAAATGCTTTTACTTAGATAACTGGGTAGGTATTCACACTAAGAATACTTGGAGCTTCAGTACTGACATCACTTATGTCCAAGTTCCCATTTTGTGAAGACTAAGATGTAAGAAATGGACTTTCAGTTAGGGCTTTAAAAATGACAGCCTAAAGATAAAAGCCAGTGATATCTGTGATGTGAAAGAAGTATGTGCTTATAGAGAATTTATGGCATCATCTTCAAAAGAGGAAAATGGAAACTTCTCAATATAGGGAACAGTTCAGCTCTAGTGCTGATGATTGAGTTTTAGGACTTCTGTTCTTCATGATATTTTGAGGATTTTTTTAGAGAGAAGTGGAAATGTCCCCTGTTTTTTTCCCTTCTGTAGTAGTTCATCTGTGTGTGAAGAATTGGTATAGAGTTGTGATTCCTAAACTTTCTTTGATCCCCAAGCTCCCCTCAGGTTCCATAGCACCTTCTCCGCCTCACTAACAAACAACGAGAACAACTGAATGTGGCAAGGTTTTCAAGCTGTCAAAAAGAGAAATAATTAAACAGGAGAAGAGAAATCAAATTAAGAGCTGGAGAGGAAATAGGGAAATTGGGATGAAGAACTGAGGAGCAAAAGGAGAAACAGACATAGACACCAGGAAAAAAGGAGTCGACTGTTATCATTGAAACAGACATGCACTTGGAGTTCTCAGATGTCTGTTCAAATACTGGCTCTGGCACAGTGGAATTAGTGGCAAGTCACTTTGCCTATCTCAGCCTCAGTTTCTTCATCTGTAAAATGAAGGAGATGAACATCACGATCTCCAGAATTCCTTGCTGCTGTAGCTAAAATTCTGTGAATCTGAACTTTGGGGAGAGGAAACTGGGCAGATATAGAGATTCACTGCTATGGCACCAGCTCTCAAACATTTGTTTGAATTGCTGCAGGGTGTTCAAATTTTTCTTCTAGGTAATTATGATCCCCAGAATTAAAGAAAAAAATCTTCCAGCAAAACCTTAAATATTGTTTATATCATTTTTTTAAATATTTTATATGTTAAAAGTCTTTTAAAGGGTATCATGGGACTAAAGTCTTAAATCAATCTTAGTCTCTTCATACTGCATACATGCATACCACTCAAACTCTATGCTTCAGTTGATAAATTTATTTCTTTTTCTTCCATTCTTTTTTTTTTTTTTTTTTGGTGAGGCAATTGGGGTTAAGTGACTTGCCCAAGGTCACACAGCTAGTAAGTGTTAAGTATCTCAGGTCGATTTGAATTCAGATCCTCCTGACTCCAAGGCCAGAGCTCTATTACATAGTGCTTTAAGGTTTGCAAAGTGCTTTATAAATGTTATCTCATTTGATCCTTACAACAACCTTGAGGGTTAAATATTATCGTTTTGAGATAGTATGAGATATGAAACAATGATTTTATTAGTTTCTTTAAAATATATATATGTATATATATATATGTATGTATGTATGTGTAATCAGTATTAGACCACAATATGACCTAATTTGCCTTAATATATGAAAAAACATCCCTAGAGAAAAGCCAAATGATGCTGGATTCAAATTTAAGTGACCTGAATTCAAATCCTAACAATTGCTCACTTGTGTGTGATTTGAGGACAAATCCTTTAACTTCTCCTTTCCTCAATGCAAAAAAGTAAATGTAGGATAATCTTTAAAATAAGCGTGTTGGACTAGTTGAAATCTCTTTTGCTTCTAAATCCTATGATTTAAGAGATAAATCTTGAGATATTTAGAGATTAAATGATTTCCTTGGGGTCACACAGCTAGTAAATGAGGAAGAATTTGAACCCAGTACTTGTTTGCACACTAATTACATACTACTCACCATTCTATGAACTGGTCCTATCCTCTAGATCTTTCTTTATCCTGATTCTGTAGCTTGGGATGACATTCTTCTCCACCTTCGCAAATTACAGACACAGATGCTTATGCTTTCACCAGTCTTCTTAATGGAGTCCTATTCACTTTTCAGTTATCATCTCCTCCATGAAAACTTCCATGATTATCAGGGATCATGGGACCAAGGATATGAACTCTCCTTTATCAGATCACTTAGAATATTGTACACCTTTTTATACATTATAATATTGTCATTTGTATTATATTATCTGTCTAGGTTTCTTATGTTATTAACTAGACAGGATTGCATTCAGTTTTATTGTTGATCATGGAGAAAAGAGAAATGTGCTTCTAGGTCCTCATATGTTCCAAACTGTGAAATGCTTGATGAAATATTAAATATGAGTCATTTAAAAGCAGAACCTTTATATAATCACAGACTTTTAGTGTTAGAGTAGACCTTAGAGATCGCTTTATCAAAAATTCTCTCATTTTACACTTAATAGGAATAACTCCCTCCACTAAAGGGAGGCCACATTATGGTACAGTTATGAAGGCAAAAAAACAAGCTCTGGCAAGTCCTATCAAGTTGGAAAGATTTTCTGAATAGACCTGGTGAAAAATAGTGCATCCATTTGATAGGGTATGGGCCCAAGCTGAGACCGTTGCCCCTTGCCCCCAAAAGAATTTGGGACATTTGTTTGAGGGGGCATAACTTGGTTGAGATCTAGACCCCAGAAAGGAAAAATCCTGGACTTTCCGACAGGGCCAAATCTCTGGATTTCACCTGAGTATAATACCATCAACTGGCCTTTCATTAACTACTATGCTCAATCACCCAATTCTCTGTTACCCTTAAACTAGCCTAGCCCTCCATTGTCTTACCTCCCTATGGCCTCTGGCTACTTCCTGCCCTTGACTCTATCTAGACCCTATTCTTAACTTCCCAGTCAATCCCATCAAGATCCTTCCTAGATCTCTCCCCACAGTCTTTCTGTATAGAAGATCCATCTTGTCTCCATGAAGCTACTCAGATTCTTAAGAGTCTAGCCAAAAGCTCAGATTCCTTAAGAACCTAGCCAACAGCTCACAAATGCTCAGATTCCTTAACAGTCTGGCCAGTATGGTGGATGTTTAACAAACCTTGTGTCTGGCTGAAAGAAGGCTTGGGTCTAATTCATTTGGGCAGGCCCTGCATGTCATGATTTTGGGCTTCCAGCACCCCTAAACCTCTAGACCTCATCACATTGTCTTAAGGCCATGCTACTGAGGCCTGAGGAGATTGATAAACACATCAAGGAATATATTTTTCCCCTTCCCCACAACAAAACTTCATCCCCACCCCATGCCACCTTCCACTCTAGCAGCTACTATTTTCAGCAAGGTGTGGGAAGTAGAGTTGGGGGAAAAATTAAGATGATCTAGGCTAGCCTTCCAGAGACAAGACAGCAGGAGAAAGAGAGTGAGAGACAGACAGACAGAGACAGAGAGACAGTCTTATTTCATATGCATCAAAGTACATATTTGTTATACGCATTTTGCAGAAGGGACCCTAAAATTCAGAGGAGTTAAAATAATCAGCAAATAGTGAAACCAAAACTTCAACCCTAGTTTTTTGATCCCTTAACGTTAGCAAAATCTTTTACATACTTGGTCAACAGAATTCCACAACGTTTAGTTTCAACTGCTTTGTTGTTATTCTTTCCTTTTACATTGTTGTATTCGATGTGTATTTTGTTTTCTGATTCTACTCACTGCTCTTTTCCTGGGTTCATCTAAGTTTCCTGTAATTTTCTGTATTTATCGTATTTGATGTTTCCTATAGTACAGCAATATTCCCTCACCAATACGTGCCACCATTTTTAGTCACTCTCCACTATATGTACTTTGTTGCTAGTTCTATGTACTACGAAAAGTGCTGTTAGAAATAGCTTGGTATATATGGAAACTTTCATTTTAACACCAATTTCCTTTTTTTGTAGCCTAAGCAGTAGAACCTCTGTATCAGGATGTTTTATCACTTTCCTCACATAATTCCAAGTTGTTTTCCAAAATGATTGGACTAGTGAGCTGTTGGCTAGTTTAATGACCCACAAATAAAGCATTAGTTTGCTCATCCTTCTGTGGAAAGACCTTCTAACACTGATTTTTCCTATACTTTTGCCTGTTTTCTTACTGTAATTTGAAATTTCATAGTGGTTTTGATTTATAGTTCTCTTGTAATTATTGATTTGAAATATTCTCTCACAAAGTTGCTAATGGTCTGAAATTGTCTCAAAAATTATTTTTTCATAAAGTTATATAACTTTAGCATAGTTTTTATTATTCCCATTTTATATGTGAGGAAATGCAAGATTAAAGAGGCTAAGCAATTTGTTCATAGTAACATACTAGTAAAAGTCAGGAAGTGGGTTTTGAACCCAGATCGTTCAGATTCCTAGTCAGATATTTCTTCTATACCAACCTCTGTCTCATCCACTGGCTTCCAATGAAGACAGGTTTCTGTTACGAGATGAATCTGATCCTCATGATCTAGATCTAAGGGTGGGGAACCTGTAGCCTTGAGATGATATGTGGTCCTCTAGATACTCAAGTGAGGGCCTTTGACTGAATCCAAACTTCACAGAACAAATCCTCTTAATAAAAGGATTTGTTCCGTAAAACTTGGAATCAGTCAAAAAGTCACACC